GACATAGGGGGCGCACCCAGGGGAGGGGCTCTAAATATGATTAAGATGTATTGCATGAAATGCACAAAAATTCGGTAAAAATATATATTGAAAAAGACATTATTAATGCGTACAAATGTCAAATTTAAAGAGGTAGATTTCAAAGTAAGAGTAGCTGTGGAGTGTGTACACATGTGTGTTAAGTGTTAAGAGATAAAGAAAAAAGGAGCGCCGGGCGTGGTGGCACACGCCTGTAGTCACAGCACTTGGGAGACAGAGGCAGGCAGATCTCTGTGAGTTCAAAGCCAGCCTGGTCTACATAGTGAGTTCCAGGACAGCTGGGGCTACAGGGAGACCCTGCTTCAAAAAAAAAAAAAAAAAAAGAAAGAAAAAGAAAAAAGGAGCTAAAGTGCATCTCTTGCATCTCTTGGGTGTAATGTACATTGGTAAATTATGTACTGTTTAAGCTCACTAAGAAGCTGGCTCTGGAAGTGGGATTGTACACACACACACACACACATAGTGAGTTCCAGGACAGCTGGGGCTACAGGGAGACCCTGCTTCAAAAAAAAAAAAAAAAAAAGAAAGAAAAAGAAAAAAGGAGCTAAAGTGCATCTCTTGCATCTCTTGGGTGTAATGTACATTGGTAAATTATGTACTGTTTAAGCTCACTAAGAAGCTGGCTCTGGAAGTGGGATTGTACACACACACACACACACAACTCTCTCCCCTCCTTCTTTACTTCCTCCCTCTCCTCTCTCTCTCTCTCTCTCCCTCCCTCTCTCCCTCTCTCTCTCTCTCTCTCTCCCTCTCCCCCCCACTCAGGCCCAAGCATGTTTATATGTTTATATCAAATGTCCTCCAAGACTCCATCCTCAAACATGAGGATGGGCTGGCCTCTACTTACTCTTTAACAAGGAGACAAGGGAACATCAAAATAGCCCAAAAGTTAAAAAACTTTCTGCCCATGAGAGCAGCTAGAAGGTAAACCTTTTCCAACAGAGGTTACTATTGTTTATTTCATGACACAGAATGCCTGCAGTGTGACAGAGAAGCCAGAAGTTCAACCATGGGAGGCTCATCCATGAGAGAAAGCTCACCAGGGAACTCCCATGGGCGGCCTCAACTTCACATTCAGTTTCTGCCGGATGTTGTAAACACCCAATTTGATGGTTGTCGCTATCTGTTGCTATTTGTTCTTTTATATGGAAGCCTCACCCGTGGCAACACTGCTCTGCCTGGGACCGTCTGTATTAGGAGCTCTGGCTGGCTGCCTCAAGGGTCTTTTGCAGTCAATTTTCTGCTGGATGTTTGGAGTGATCAATTTGACAATATTTTTTATATGTGTATGCATGTATTGCCTGCATGTAGGTAAGTGCACCCATGTCATACAATGCCTGCAGAGGACAGAAGAGGCTGTTAGATCCCCTGGGACTGGAGTTATGGACAGTTGTTAGCTGCCATGTGGGTGCTGGGATTCAAACCCGGGTTTTCTGCAAGAACAGCCAGTGTTCTTAACCGCTGAGCCATCTCTCCAACTCCCCAATTTGACAATATTTTGCCATCTATCTATGTATCTACAACCTTTGATTCAATCTTTTACTTTGGCTTCCCTAATGAACTCACTCATTCAAAAAAAAGTATGTCATAGATTATTCCCCAGACCATACAGACAGTGGGAGAAATAGCCTACACAGAGATGTAATTACCCTGAAACATGGGAAGGCTTGAAAGAAGAAATTCTCATATCTAGCACAAAGAGATAGTATGGACTCTTATTTGGACATAGCACCCAGTCTCCCATAATATGAAGTTCTGCTTTTTCAGAACACTTGACCTGTGTCTATATCTCATTTTTCTCATTCTGCACCATTTCAAGCAAGTTACAATTTTTAGATAGATGATAGATAGATGATAGATAGATAGATAGATAGATAGATAGATAGATAGATAGATTATAGCTAAGCATACATGAAATAAATTGGGAAGAGAAATAATACAAAAACCTGAGAGAATCCCTCATCCTTTTATTTTGTATTTCCTAGGTCTTAGTCAATTACAACCCGGGGGGAAACCATGATAGTAGTACTTGAAATGCTGGCACCTCTAGTGTCCTGAATTAATGCCGCTTGTAGGTCTATCCAGCAACAATTCTTCCATGAAATACTCTGCTGTAAAAGAAATAAGATGACTAAGAAGGAGTCTTTTAAGAGTCTCTGACATGCAGAGAGGTGATTAGGATCTCTGAGGGGTGAGGTGGGAGGGGGATATGATAAATAATGGGCTACCTCTCCTTTAGAGCACGTCCTTTTATTTCTGACACTTAAAAAGACACTGTCAAAAAGATGTTTTACTGATTCGACTTTCTATGCAGGAGAACGTACAACAGTTACCCAGTAAGTGGTTTTATAGGGCGTTTCACCCACACGTTATAATAAACTGAGCCTGAAAATATCTTTTGTGCTTTTACAGTGTTTGGATGATAACTGTGAAAAACTGTCTAGTGAAGGTTAGCAAACTGTACCTGTGGTCTTTTCTCATGTATGATAGTTTACTATCTTGGAGCACGATGCATTGTTAAATAATAGGTTTGCTCGTCTGGCCAGCAAGAAGTAACTGAGGAGTGTTACAGAATCCTGTTTCCATGGCTTCATTGCTTTTAAGTTGTTAGACCTGAACAAAATGGGTCAATGTTGAAAGAATAAAGTTTTCCTGTCTCCACCCCCCCAAAACAAACAATACAGAACAGCTTCTTCCATTGTACATGTGACATTAAACATTAGTTATTGAATCATGTTGCAGTTCTCTGTTTAACTTTCTTAGAAGCTGCCAAACTGTTTTATTTGGCTGAACCATGTCACATTCCCAACAATGATGCATAGGCTCTAGTTTCTTCACATTCTCAATGGTACATATATTTTCTCTTTTTTTAGTTATATCTTTCTTATTTTGTGTAAAAAAGTATCACATTATGGTTCTGATTTTCAGTTCCCTAATCACTAAAGATTTTGATTATCTTTTCATAAGTTTTTTGGCCATTTGTGTATCTTTGTAGAAATGTTGATGTTTTTTGGTCTGTGTGTGTGTGTGTGTGTGTGTGTGTGTGTGTGTGTGTGTGTGCATGTGCGTGCACGCACGCATGCACATGCATATGTTACTGAAGGATTGAGCCAAGTTAGACAAGTGCTAACACAGTGTTATATCCCCAGTCCTCTTTTGCACTTTTCTCTCTTATTTTGAGACAGTCTCACTAAGTTGTCCCGGCTGACCTTGAACTTGTGTAGTAGCCCAGGTGATACATCTGCCTCAACTTCTCAAGTAGCTGGGATTAGAGACCTGTGCCACCAGATTAGATCTTTTGCTCACTTTTAATCACACTTTTTGTCTTTTTGTTTTTGAGCTATCAGAGCTTTCCAAGCAATATTTTTATTACTTGAGTTTCATACAATGCATTTTGATCATATTCTCCCTCTCCCAACTCCTTCCAGATGCACTCTAACACTCTACCTTCCCAACTTTCTCCCTCTCTTTCTCCCTCCCCCCCCCACCCACCCCATCCAATTTGTGTTTCCCAAATACTCTCGCTTGTGGAACCTGCTCTGGAGGTTCGTGTTCATGGTCAACCTATCAGGGGCCACACTGTTAAAGAAAACTGATACCTCTCTCCTAGTAGGGATCAAATACCACTCGCTCCTCAGCTAGAGATGAGAGTTCATGTCCACCTCCTCTCTCCATGCTGGAATTTTGTCTGGCTTGAGCTTGCAGTCTTATGCATGCTGTTACAATTGCAGTGAGCTCACGTGTGCAATCTCCCTGTTGTCTAGAAAACGCTGTTTTCTTGTAGTCATCCACAACCTCTGGCTCTTAGACTCTTCCTGCCACCTCTTCCCCAAACATCCTTGAGCTTTGGGGAGAAGGATGTGATACAGATGTCCCATCTAGGGCTGAGCACTTCTCAGTCTCTTACCTCTCCATGTTGACCAGTTGTGAGTCTTTGTGATAACTGCCTTCGAATGCAAGAAAAAGGTTCTCTGATGAGTGTTCAATGATGTATTGATCTATGGATATAGCAGTAAGTCATTGGGAGTCATTCTAATACAAGGCCCATTTAGTAGAATGTTAGTAGCAGGTTCTCCCCTAGGGCCCGTGACCTGTTTAGCTACAACTTCATGGCCCCAATAACAGTGCCAGGTATGGGTTCCAGTCACCCTTTGTTTGGATTTATGAGCTTATTTTTTTAATGTTTTTATTAACTCTGAGAATTTTATACAATATGCTTTCATTATATTCATCCCCACTTCTCCTAGATCCATCCCTACCTCCCTAAACTGTATGCCCTCTTTTTTATTAGATTGTTTTAATTTAATAACCCATCAACTTCAATCTGTGGTGTCCATATGCTTCTAGGTGTGGGGCCATCCACTGGAGCGTGGGCGACCTACCAGGAGCCACACCCTTAAAGAAGGTGTTTCTCCCACTCCCAGAAGCCATCAACTAGCCATAGCGCCTCAGTTAGGAGTGAGGACTCATGAACCTCTTCCAACTCTGTTAAATTTTACATGGAACAGGTGGTTCAAAAGGACACTGAGATGGATTACTTGGCACTAAGGAGTTTATTAGACAAGTTATTAAGACCACAGACAGAGATACAGAGGCACAACATCATGGTGGAACCAGGCCCCAGCACCAGAAACAAACAGCACGATGGGGTCTCCAAGGAGCATCAAGCCCATATGACCAGGTAGAGTCTCAATTTTGAAGATGGGAGTTCACTGCAAAAGCCTGCAGCCAGGCTTTCCGATTTCCAGGCAGAGGACAAGGAAGGGAATGGGGAGCAGGATGTAGCAATCCTAGGTGAGATGTGCTGGCAGGTAAGTCTTCTAGGTCTGTGCTCATAGACAATGTCTCAGTAGGGTGCCCGACAATCTGTGTGAGAGAAAATCTGAGCAGAGGCTGGATTCTAACATTACAGTCTTTTTAAAATTTTTTTATTGAATTTTTGTGCATTTCATACATTATACCTTGATCATACTTGGACTCCCCCATGTTCATCTGCTGCATTGCCCCCCCCATTAGATTTCATGCATTCTCTGTCATATGTGTTAAAGCCTATCAAGTCAAGTTTGTGTCCCTAAATATCCCTTGGTATGAGTCCATCCACTTGAGCCTGGTCAACCTATCTAGCATCACTCCCTTAAACAAGACCAACTCTCCCTCACCCAGCAGTAAGGAATTACTAATAGTTCCTCAACTAAAGTTGGGGCTTCTTACATATTTCCCCATTTCTATGCTGGGTTTTTGTCTGGACTGAGCTTGCACAGGTCTTGTGCATGCAGTCACCATTGCTGTAAGTTTAAATGCACAAGTTCCCAGGAACCTGTAAGACTGTTTCCTTATGGCTATGCACTACCCCCTGGCTCTCACTGTCTTTCTACCCTCTCTTCTCAGTAGTTCCTGAGCCTAGGATGGGTAAGGTAGTTCTGTCCAGGGACACACACTCTACATTTTGGGCAGTTGTGGCTTTCTGTGTTAACCACCATCTGTTGCATAAGGAAGCTTCATTGGTGAGCATGGAGAGGTGCAGTAATATTCTCTCTGCCCCCTGTTCCACTACATTCCATGAGCCTTAAGTGTAAAGGTTGCATTGTAGATGTGTCATTTAGGGCCGAGCACCACACAAACATTTATTTTCTGCATTTGACCAGTTGTGGGACTCTATGATAGTTTCTATCTGTTGCACAAAGAAGCTTCCTTGATGAGTCCTGAGAAGTATACATGTCTTCGAATTTCTGATTTTGTTTTCTTTTACTAGTGAGTAGAATTCCATTGTGTAAATGTACCACATTTTCATTATCTGTTCATCAGTTGAGGGACATTTAGGTTGTTTCCATTTCATAACTATTGTGAAAAGAGCAGCAACAAACATGAATGTACAAGTAGGATGAGTCCTTTGGGTATATGCCAAGGAGTAGTATAACCAGATCATATGGTAGATTTATTTTTAGTTTTGATCTGCCTGCCTCTGCCTCCCAAGTGCTGGGATTAAAGGCGTGTGCCACCACACCCGGCCTATTTTTAGTTTTTTAAGAGTTCTCTATACTGTTGGGGCTGGAGAGATTGCTTAGTGGTTAAGAGCACTGACTGCTCTTGCAGAGTGCCTGGGTTCGATTTCTAGCACCCACATGGCAGCTAACAGTCATCTGTAACTCCAGTTCCGGGAATCTGGCACCCTCTTCTGACCTCTGTAGGCACTGCATGACACGGGTGCATTTATACACATTCGGGCAATACACTCATACACGTAAAATAAAAGTAGTAGTATAAGATATTTTAAAAAGGGTTCTCTACACTGCTTTCCACAGAGGTTGCACCAGTTTGAAATCCCACCAGCAGTGAGTGAGGGTTCCCCTTTTCCTGTGTCCTCACCAACACTGGTGTCATTTGTTCTCTTGATCTTATCCATTCTTTCCGGGGTAAGATGAAATCTTTCTAAGATGTTTCTTAGTCATTTTTATATACTTAAAGTCTCTTGTTAGTGTTTGGGTGAATCATAATGCGAGATTTCTAAAATGGAAAAGATACTTGAATGTTTATTTGGGGCTCCATAAAATATACAGTTTTATTTCTATTTATTTTTGATGGGGGAAGTGATGACTAATCTTGGTTGTCAACTTGACATATCTGGGAAGAGGGAACCTGAGCTAAAAGTTTTCCTCCATCAGATTTCCCTGGGGGTATGTCTGTGGAACGTTTTCTTGAAGAACTTCTGATTGATTTAAAAAGGCCCAGCCCACTATGGTTGCTGCTATCCCTGGGCAGGTGGGCCTGAGCTACATAAGAAAGGTAGCTGACCCTCCACTGCATGAGGGAGCTTCATTAACGAGAACTGAGAGATTCATTAGTGTCCTCTTCTTTACCCGTGTTCTATGTCTCAAATGGCCAAAGCATAGCAATCTAGAGTCTGCTAAATGCTGGTCCTTGGACAGGACTCCTTTATAAAACTCCATCCATCCAAGGCTCAGGGACCATCTGGGAAGAGGGGACAGAAAGATTGTAAGAGCCAATAAGGAGGCACATGATCATATGGAAACAGAGTCCTACAGGCTCCTGGAAACCTGTTCATATGATTCTATGTCAAGGGTGTCAGCATACACAAATCCCATGCAAACCCAGGCAGACAATAACCCAGCATAGACCTAGGAAAATGAACAGCAGACCCCAATCTTAGCTGAAGAAATATTGGCAACTGATTGCTACTAGGTGAAGAGCTGATCTTCCTAAAACAAGGGACTCTAGATAGGCTGACTAGACCTTGGTGGATGGACTTGCACTGGGGAACATCTGGGGACACTGACTTGACACAGAGGGTCTTAACAGGGATGGATGACAGAGTATATGGGCTCTGGTGATGGGGCTATGGGAGGATGCCTGTGGGAATGGAGGTATAAAGATGCTTAAGACTGATTGGAGATTTTCTTATGAAATACACAAAAATTAAATAAAAACCAACTTTTAGAAAAAGGATGGTAGCTGAGCAGGCCAGGAGAAGCAAATCAGCAAGCATCATTTCTCCATCGTCTCTGCTCTAGTTCCTGCTTGAGCTCCTGACCTGGCTTCCTTCAATGATGGACTGTAACTGTAAATCAAATAAATGCTCTCCCCCAAGTTGCTCTTTCTCATGGTGTTTATCACAAGAGAAAGTAAACTAGAAGAGCCCAAAAGAAGATCAAACATCTGAGCTTGAAGCTTAGTCACTAAAGTGCTTTCCTTAAGCATGAGGACCTGTGTTCAGACCCAGAACTCACAATTAAAAAGCCAAACGTGGTGGCTTGCACTTGTGATCTCAGAACTATGGAGGCAGAAATATGTAGATTGCTAGGGCTCTCTGGCCAGTCAACCTCACATATTAAGCAATTTCAATGCCAGTGAGAGATCTTGTCTCTGTGAACAAGGTGGATGGCACCAAAGAATGAAGCCCAAGGTTGTCCTTTAGCCTCCACATATGTGCACAGAAGTGCACACACCCACATACATGAAACTTACATACACCCTCCACAGACACACAAAGACCAAATCCATGAATCACAGCCATAGAATATTTCATTTTGAAAGCATAGCAATTTTTTCAACAAAATCATAGCATAAAATTTCCCGAAATTAGGGTAAAAGATACCAATTCTGATAGAGGAGACATTTAGAACACCAAACAGACAGGATCAGAAAAGAATCTCCCTCATTATATTACAATCAAACCACTGAATACATAACAAAGTATATTGAAGCTGGCAAGAGACAAACACCAGGTCACGTATAAAGGCAACACCATCAGAATAACAGCAGATTTCTTAATAAATATTTCAAAGGCCAGAAAAGCTTGGAAAGAAGTATTTCAAGTTCTGAGAGGTAACAAGGGTCAACCCAGAATATTATACCTAGCAAAACTATCTGTCAACATTGAAGGAGAAAGAAAAACATCCAATGATAAAAACATGTTAAAGGCTTTCATGGCCACTAAGCCAGTCCTACAGAAGATCCTTGATGAACTTCTTCAGACTGAAGAGAAAGATTAACACTTTCATGATGCCACAGGGAATAATAAACTAATAAAACAGCAGGAGAAAGCTGGGGTATGTCTACAGGTATCACTGTGGTAGGACAGCAGATGTCATCACTGAAGAAGATGTCATAGAACTAACACCAGAGTGCTAGATAGTCCTCTATGTGGATGATTACAAATGCCAAGATCTTTAAAGAAGGAGAGCGACTGAACAAATCATTGACGATAAAGCATAAAAGGGCTGCAGGTAGAATAGTCTAACAATTTTCTCTATAGGAATTTTTATAAAGAAAAAAACATAAATCTGCATTAGAAGAGAGAGTGAACACCTTCAAAATCTTGAGACTTGCTGGAAGATGTAGCTCTGTGGTAGTGTGTATGACCAGCATGCATGAGGTCGCAGGTTCAATCCCCAGAAGTAGGGTAGGGTATGCCATTTATTATTATGTCAACATCGTAATCACCTGAACAAATAGACTGGCTCTTAAATTAAGTTTTTTCAAGCGTGGGCTTGAACTTGGAGGACACCAGTTCTCCAAGCTCCCCGAGCTATTAGATAGCTGTCTGTCACCTAGAATTGTGCCAATGGATCTCTCTTGTCCCCTCAACCTGTGCAGATGCGGCTGTCTGTGTCCTCAACCTATGCCAATGGAACTGTCTCTGGAATCCTGTTTCTCCCACTGTCTCAAGCCATGCCCATAATTTATTCAAAATGGTTTCTCCAGGTTCATTGGAGAAATACAAGTTCAAATTCGGCTCTACCCTTAATGTTGCAGACAGTCCAGTCTTTTCATCCCTTGTTCACTTCCATCCAAGTCAGGTGTCCTACTCAATCTCCACTGTGTTCAACAGACATGGGGAGCTGCCTTTTGATAGAAACCCCTGAGACAAATGTCTCACCCTAGCCCCAGTGTTAATAGTCACATCCCTGTCTCAGACCTGATAAGAGTGCCACAGTTACAGAGACACTGGACAACCCACTCCTCTTACCAGGGTGTCTCTCTGCTGTCCTTGTGCCCTGTTATCAGGTAGCTATTGGAGCTGAAAATAGCTTCTTTGTTCTGTCCAAACAAGGGCCGAAGGACACCTTGACACAGACTTCACAACTGCGCATGCCTTGTTTCTAGCAATATAAAATTCAGCATCACCCCTCACACCTTTTGTACAGCTTGCCTTTCCACAGAGAAGCTGTGTCACCTTTGATGGACCGTTAGGTCTGCTGCAAGGTCTGGCTCTGGTCTTTTACCAAAACTTTATCCTTTCTCTGTCATTCTAAATCAACACCTTTCAGACCTTCGATATGTTCATTCTCAAGCACATCCACATTATCTTTTCTGGTCGAACCGAGGTGGCCAAGAAGATACCACCCACCACCCTGGGCATCAGACCCAAGAGCACATGGTTTTACTAGGTTTAATTAGAAGTCATTAGCCCATTCCAGCACTCAGGAGGCAGAGGCAGGTGGATCTCTGTGAGATGGAGGCCAGACTGATCCATATGGTGA